GTGTCCGTCGTGAGCGTCCTCCTCCTGTCCCAGGCACTCACTACATGACTCTGCGTCCCTCTACTGCTCCTCAGCGTGTCCCTCTACCGTCTCCTCCTGCGTCCTCTTTGCCTGACGTTCCGGCCCCTGAGTCTGACCGGTATCGTGCTGAGCACCCTACTGTCACGCGTCTCCTCGCTACTGTTGTCACTGACCCTACCTTTGAGTCCTCGGCTGCGTCTGCTCTGGTCGCTGAGCTGGTTGACTTTGCTGCTGCCTGTCGTCTAGACTACGCTGCTAGCCTTGTTGCTGAGTCTGTCTGTCCTCCGTCCGTCGGGGGTGAGTGTGCTCTTGGCACGGACGTCCGTTAGGACAGACAGGAGGAGTTCCAGTGTCTTGCTGCTGCTTTGCCCCGTCTCGTGTCCTTGCTAGTTGCCCCTGAGGGAGACCCGGATGCACCAGACATCCCGACCCCGCGCACTTACGCTGAGGCGATGGCGGGTCCCTACTCCTCTCAGTGGCAGACAGCCATGGACGCCGAGATGGCTTCCTGGAAGTCCACACGCACCTACGTCGACGAGGTTCCCCCTCCTAGGGCGAACATCGTCAGTGGCATGTGGATTTTCAGGGTGAAGCGGCCGCCGGGTTCTCCGCATGTCTTCAAGGCGCGTTACGTGGCTCGAGGCTTCAGTCAGCGAGAGGGAGTTGACTTCTTCCAGACCTTCTCCCCCACCCCGAAGATGACTACTCTTCGGGTGCTGCTGCACATAGCCGCTCACCGCGACTACGAGCTTCACTCACTTGACTTCAGCACTGCTTTCTTGCAGGGCAGCCTGCACGAGGAGATCTGGCTGCGCCGCCCACCTGGCTTCACTGGATCGTTTCCTCCTGGTACCCAGTGGAGGCTTCAGCGGCCGGTCTACGGTCTCCGCCAGGCTCCGCGTGAGTGGCACGACACACTGAGGACTACACTTGCGGCTCTTGGGTTCGCGCCTTCTACAGCTGACCCGTCGCTGTTCCTGCGCACCGACACTTCGCTGCCGCCGTTCTACATCCTCGTGTACGTCGACGACTTGGTCTTTGCCACTGCTGACACTGCAGGACTCGCCTACGTGAAGTCGGAGCTGCAGAGGAGACACACGTGTACAGACCTGGGTGAGCTGACAAGCTATCTTGGCTTGCGGATCACCCAGGACAGAGCACGGCGCACCATCACCCTGACTCAGTCACACATGGTGCAGCAGGTTCTCCAGCGCTTCCGCTTCACGTACTCCTCGCCTCAGTCCACTCCTCTGCCTACTGGTCACTCGCTCTCAGCTCTGCCTTCGGATGAGTCCGTAGAGCCGAGTGGCCCGTATCCAGAGCTTGTGGGCTGCCTCATGTACCTGATGACCTGCACTCGACCTGACCTTGCATACCCTCTTAGCATCCTTGCACGCTATGTCGCTCCTGGCCGTCACAGGAAGGAGCACATGGATGCCGCTAAGAGGGTGTTGCGCTACTTGTGCAGTACGTCGGGCATGGGGCTTGTGCTTGGAGGGCGAGACCGAGTTGTTCTCACAGGGCACTCAGACGCTTCTTGGGCAGACGACCAGGCTACTCAGCGGTCGTCTCAGGGTTACACCTTCAGCCTTGGCTCTGGCTCAGTTTCTTGGCGCTCTACGCGCTCTTCTTCTGTTCTCGGCTCCAGTTGCGAGGCTGAGATCTACGCTACAGCCATGGCTGCCCAGGAGCTACGCTGGCTGACCTACCTGCTGACCGACCTCGGAGAGCGGCCTCGTTCTCCTCCAGTACTGTACGTCGACAACAAGGCTGCCATTGCCTTGTGTGAGGAGCACAGACTGGAGCACAGAACGAAGCACATCGCCCTGCGGTACTTCCTTGCTCGTGAGCTGCAGCAGCGCGGTCAGCTTTGTATTCGCTACGTGGCCACTGAGGCCAACACTGCTGATGTGTTCACCAAGGCGCTTCAGCCTCGTGACCATCAGCGCTTCTGCACTCTACTAGGCCTTGTGCCTACTGGACCTCACTTACTTACCTCTTGACTTTGCTTGTACTGTGATCACTATATATATCTATACCTGCATGTTTACTCTTGCTAGGTTGTGATCACTGTATCTCTTGCTCTGTTATAAACCTGCATGTGAACTGGTCTTGTGACCACTAGCTTGTGCTCGGAATTTGTGTGGAATCCTTGAGATCCACCCTGAGCTTGTTGTTGTCTTGCTTTGCCTTGACTGGTCTTGTGACCCCTAGGTCTCCCCCACTTTGCCTATGGGGGTGTGTCAAACATTATACATGTTGTATTTGTGTAGGCTGTAGTGGGTTAGCCTATAGGGGGGTCACAACATTAGGGTTTCATATTTGTACTCACAATCCTTGCTAGTTCATCATTCCAGTCCGTTCTCGTTGACACTCGTTATACTTCTCCAATGTCCGGGCTGTCAAAAGCCGCCACAACATGTCCGAGGAGGTCTTCCCGAACCGCTTCACGTTCTGCTGCATGTGCCACCCACAAAAGTAGTGCGGAGTCTCAAGGAACACTTCCTTCACCTCCGGGATGAGACCTTTGTCCCGGTCACTGATGATGGCCGCGTCGTCCCGTCCCTTCCAGTCGGAGCGGTGCTTGTCAAAGAGACGGCAAAACCACGTCCATGTGTCCTTGGTTTCGCTCTCTACGAGGGCCCACGCGATGGGGATGATCTGCTGATTGCCGTCCATCGCGTTGGCGTACAGCAGGGTAGCCTTCTCAGCACGGATCAGGAATGTCCCGTCCATTGCGATGACAGGCCCGCAGGTCTTCAGCGCTTCGCGTGTTGCACTCGGCGCCATGAAGAAGCGGAGAAATTCGTGGTTGTACGTCAGAAGCTCCACGGTTGCTCCGCTGTCGATCCGCCGAATGCGCTCTTGCACCGCCGGAATGTAGCGGAAAGACTCGCACCAGTCGCCGAATCGCTGCGCCGTGATGCCTACCTTCAGCCTGCGTGGGAGGAATGTATGGGTGGTATCGGGACATGAGTGAAGTGGAGGCAACACTGGCTGTAACAGAGAAGATCCCCTGATGTACGGCCTATGACGGGTGTACTCTTACCGGTAGGCGTTGTTGTAAGTTAACTTCGGGCCATAGCAGGCCTGGATCTGCTTGGCGTAGTCCCAAGGGGCGTTAAACGGCGCTGCACGGACGAAGTTGCCGAATTTCCGCCAAAGGTACTTCCTCTTACGTCCCATACCCGGCCACCACCGGGCCCGCATGCGGCGGTCGCATGTGTGCTCTGCGGGATCGGACAGCTCCACGATTCGCCACGGTCCGTTCCGCTGGAGACGCGCGTAGCTGCACCGCCATGGACAAGGGGGGTCCAACCCAAGCTTCTGACTCTTGCACAATGCTAGCGCCGATGCCTTCCTGGTAGCCTTAATGTAGAAACCGTATTTATGAGTCACCGCAGCATCAAGCAAAGCATAGAGGCAATGATCCCGCGAGGAGTACAAGTTACCCTCCACAATGGCAGCGTTGTCATTGATAGTAGGCCCCTCTTCGGGTTCAAACTCTACGTCGAAGTTCTCCAGTATAATGTCATACATGTCACGGCCATTAGCCGGAGGTTCCTCCATCGTGTATCTGATACAACACCTAGGTTATCCCCTCGCTATATGTACATGGTCATCTAGTGGCCTCGCTTTTTAACGGCGAGACGCCAACACATGTGTACGCCATGTAGAACTGTCTCTGGTGAGACGACTACGGTGGACTCGGAAACCCTGACAATTCGTACAACAGCTAGGAACAACAATAATTCAGTTGACAGTCCCAGGTGCCATCTTACTGGCAGCGGCTGCCACCGGTGCGAATCGTCAGAACTCGCGGCGCCTGAATCGTGTTATGTTCGCTGGCGCGTTTATTATCAGATTCTGAACACAATGTACCCAATCACATGTCGCCTTGTGGCATGTATATGGTAAAAGTTTCGTGATGATGGCAAAATTACACGGATCGTTCAAAAACTCGCAGATCGCCCGCCAACACAACGATTCGCATGCATTCTTGCATGACGTGTCTGACGCAAGTACTTGCACGTGGAATCTAGTTCAGAACGTCAGAATCGAACCGAGTCGCCCGATAGATGAAGTTGTGTAGCGCAGGGTCCACGTTACGTTTATGTAGAACCGCGTGGCACGCCCGAAAGAATGGCTAAATAACACTCGCCAGTCTTGTTTCGCCACGTTCAACCCCACAAACCTCCATTCCCCCACAGTTCTGAACCGAAACTGATTGCCGAACCTGGACGCGCCACACATACGCCGAACCGACTTCATCAGTGTCAGGAACGAAATGCCCAATAGGATGAAACTACGTGGCAGGTAAGCTCGATGTCAACCAGCAAACTGCCCACCGACATTTTGGAACCCCCGAAAAAAAGGCCTTATGTTGTTTAAATGAAGCTAAATCCGGGGAGCGCGCGCCGCTCGCGATAAAAGGTGGGCCGTGTGCCTTTTGGGTTGTGTAAAAATTTTAGCGCGATGAAAAAAATTCGCGAGACCTAAACCCGCGCCGCGGCAATTCTCTCACAGCAGCAACTTCAAATGAGCGACGCGACTCGAACAAGAAAGTCAATGCGCTACGCATCGCGTTTACTGTATTTCGAGGTTGCGGTTTGTTATGAAGAGCATTGCACTAACGAGGTAAGGGCACATAAGGATGTGTAGCTGTACTAAATTTTAGATTATGCATATTTTGTGTATACTCGGAAATTTTCAAGACTACATGAACTCATAATATGTAGGACCTTGCAGAATTTTGATAGAAACAAAACCTCCTTTCTAAGGTTCCACAGTTCCAGACAGTGCAATCCTCTACACTCCATCCCTCAATTGCATTTGTAGCACGCATTTCATTGTGGATTACTAGGGTATACCTTCCACTTATTCATTTCACTGTTACAATGATTGCAGGTGTACCACTAGAGTGGCCCTGGGGTCACAACTATTGCCGGGAAAGTGTCCTGGATAAACCCTTCTAAGTCTTATACTTCTGTCGCAATCCTCTGCAGGGACGGAAGGCCCTTGAGCCAACCAACACCGCGCGCAGTGATCTTCGCATCCCACAACCCCAGCTTCTGCAGGCCCTTCATATTCCTCAGGTACTTCATGCCGGAGTCAGTCACTCCAGGAGGCAAAGTGAGGTGATTCAGTGCGGTGAGGGCAGTGAGGTTCTGCAGCCCATCCTCCCCCACTCCCCCATCATGCAGCGCAAGCTCCTGTAAAGCCATCAGCTTTCCCACATGGACCATACCAGCAGAGGTAACAGACACACACCCACCAAGGTGTAGTTTCGTAAGAGCCGGCAGCCCTTCCAGCCTAGCTACCCCAACGTCCGTGATCTTGCTGTTGTTGAGCATCAGCGCACGCAGGGTCGTCACGCGGTCGATTCCTTCCAGAGCAGCGTCTGTGATGCACGAGCCTGAGAGGTCCAGATGCACGAGGTCTGGGAGAGAGTAGAGCGCCCGCACTCCTGCGGCAGTGAAGCCGGAGGAGTCCTCGAGAGTGACGGTTGTGAGCTGGCGGAACGAGGCGAGGCGAGTGAGAGCCGCGTCTGAGAGGCAGGAGATGCGGCTGAGGTCCATTCGAGTCTGCTGTGGTGCTGTCTTGGCCCAGAGCGTGAGCAGCACCTGCGGGCACAGCATGGGTGGCGTGGTGAGGAGTGAAGAGGGATGAGAGGGATGGTTGGGATGATTGGGATGAGGGAGATGAGGGAGAGAAGAGAGAGCTAGGCTCTGGAGCTTCATGTTTACCGCAAGCCTTTGACCATGCTGCTGCGCATGCACTCCCATGACCCACACGCATGCCCTCACGCATGCCACGTAACACCATGTGACCAGTGTCCTTCGTCCAGCCATCCGGGGTACACGCGTGGCCTCACACGAGTTGGACATGCACGCTCTCATGTATGCCACGCCACTTGCCAATGGAGGCGGTAGTCGCCTCTGGGAAATACCACTCTCCCACAAATTTTCGTTCCATGTGGTTGGCATGATTTGAGCGCCCGAACTCTGCCCGGTACGCCCATCATAGGTGCGCGCACTGCCCCGACTGCCCAACGCACCACTTTGATTGGTCCACTGCATTGGATGCCTCTTTTTTTTTGGCTAATCCTCTTGATTATACTATTTCCCACATCCACAACAAGTGGCTCCATTTCGTTCCATGTGGTTGGCATGATTTGAGCGCCCGAACTCTGCCCGGTACGCCCATCATAGGTGCGCGCTCTGCCCCGACTGCCCAACGCACCACTTTGACTGGTCCACTGCATTGGATGCCTCTTTTTTTTTGGCTAATCCTCTTTATTATACTATTTCCCACATCCACAACAAGTGGCTCCATTTATGCAAGCACTCACCTCCCATACCCTCCCTCTGTCGATACCACTCTCCTCCAGCGCAACCACTCTATTCAGCAATTCACAATTCACCGCCTTCTCCAGCGGGAAAGCAGCCCTTGTTTCCACTCCATCCTGCTTCCCCTCGGAAGCACCGGGATTGGCGATGAGTGCGCAACCGCCCGCAGCAGCAGCAGGTGCCATCTCCTCTGCCTTCCCCGCTTCATCCCGCTTCCGCTTCTTCCCCTCGGGCGCTTCCACTCCTGCATGCTCCCCCGCGCCTCCGCCGGGCAGGCTGTGCTCCGCGCACTGCATCTCCGCGCGCGTCTTCTCCCGCGCGCTCTTCCACTCCGCCACCGCCAGTTCCACTTCGTTCATCCGCGCCTCCGTGTGCGCCGCCGTCTCGCGGACGTACGCCACTTCCGCCGAAAGCCGCTCCGCCGCAGCCCTCATCCGCGCATTCTCCGCCTTCAGCGCGCCCACCGCGTCTGCCGCCTCCCTCCTCACCACCTCAACCTGCTCCTCAATCCCCTCCGTCTCGCATTCCCCTTCCGCCGCTGCGCCCTTCGCCGCTTCGGCCTTCGCCATCGCGCGTTTCATTTCGTCAACCTCTCTCTTGAGAGCAGCCGTGACCGCTTCCTGCTGCGCCAGCTTCGCCGCCAAATGCGCTACTTGCGCCGCCATGATCCCTCCTGCTGCCGCCCTCCCCGTCCCTCCCGCGACGTCCGCCGGTAGCGCCTTCACAGGCACGCCGTTCACCATCCGCAGCATGCCTCCCGCCATCGCCATTAGCAATCGCTACCGTACGAATGTCGAATCGACAAAGTAAGTGCTGTCACACGGTACGACTGGTACGGCAAGTACTAGGGGCGTAGGCGGTTTGAAATTGGTTAGAGTTGGCTAGCCTGGCTTTTCGTAAGCATTCCTCCAAGTAGTTCGTGTCGTCTTATGCGGGTATGACAGTTATGACATGTCGGTTAGAGGATGCTTTGAAGAATGCTTGTCGTGCTGAACTGATTGTTGCCGCCAGCATTGCATTGCAACCTCTGCCCAGCGAGTTTGATTCGATTCAAGCACCATCACGTTCTCCCGTTTAGCGATGCATCAGCGTCTTCAAATGAGCGACGCGTCTCGAATGAAAATCGCTGCGCTACGGCCATCCCGTTCTGTTGTTGCGGATTGTTTTCGAAAAGGTGCTGCACTAACGAGGAAAAATATGAGATGAAGGTTTGAAGCTGTAAGAATATTACAAATATTGTAAATTCGTTTAGTGTGACATTGTATATAAATTCGTACTGTGAAAGTAAAAACGTGGCCCGGTAAGGTAGCCTGGAAATAATTCTCAAACTCTATTTTGTTCTCTGATGCCTTTACTCTCGCTATCGTATCTTTCTTTTTTGTCTCCTTAGTGCAAGTCCCTTTCCCTTTTTTCATTGCAATGTTAACACGTTCACTTTGAAGAAGCATCTTAGAGCATGCTTTGTGGACTATGCTAAACCGGAGATGTGACAGACCCAGAATGTTCCTCGACCATGTCAGCATTCTTGGAATGTGCGGGTACAAGGTGTTCATCCTTCGTTGGTTCTGTGCGGTTACGCTTGCTGCGTCACGGTGCAAAGCGTTTAAATCTTGAACCACTGTGCATCGTCTGGAATCGTTTTGCGCCACGGCGGAATAACTGAAAACAAACGCGCTAACCGAGCCTCTTCGAATGGCATGCTGGTGGTCTGACAAAAACTGGTGCCAACTTGCCAAGGCTAGTGGGCTCCCTCCCGTCTTGCCCTGGCGGCACGCCTACTCCCAACGTTTCCTTCAGTAACTCGTTGTTTGTACGGTCGCGATTGCAACGGGAAATAACGGGAGCCATGTCACACGGAGAGACGGTGAGTGAGGCAGCAGGAGGAATGGAGGCGCGAGTAGAGCAGATAGCGGCGAAGCTGGCGCATCAGGAGGAGGCCATGGCTGCTCTCAAGCGAGAGGTTGACGAACTGCGACGCGCGATGGACGCGAACGTCGCAGAGGCGAAGGTCGCAGCGGCGAAGGTTGCAGAGGCGAAGGTCGCAAATGCAACGGGCGCAGAAGCAGAGGGCGGCGCAGAGGCAATGTGCGCAGAAGCGACGGGCGCGGCGAAGGGGGCGTTGGAGACGGGGAGCCTCGGGGAGGCGGAAAAGGGGAAGGAGGCAGGAGATGACCTCCCACCGAAGCCTTGCAATCAGAAAGATATTATCCCCGTGTTTGAGCACTTAATAACGGAGGACTTTGTAAAGATATTGAGGAGTGAGCTTGCGTCTACGGCGGAGGGTTTGAAGCAGCAGGCGGAGGCAGTGCGGAGCGAGGCGGCCGGCGCGGCGAGCGCGCTGAAGGCGGAGATTGCGCGGATGAAGGCTGCGGCGGAGCGGCAGGCGGCGGAGGTGGCGTACGTGCGCGCGACGGCGGCGCACGCCGAGGCGCGGGTGAACGACGTGGAACTGACGGTGGCGGAGTGGAAGAGCGCGCGCGCGGAGCGCAGCCAGCCCGGGGGAAGCGCGGGCGGACACGCAGGAGGAGCGGAGACGCCCGAGGGGAAGAGGCGGAAGCGGGAGGAGGCGGGGAAGGCGGAGGAAATTATGGCAGATGATGCAGCTGCGGGCGGTTGCGCAGTCATTGCCACTCGTGGCGTTACTACCGATGGAAAGCAGGATAAGGCGGAATGGAAGGCTGCCGTGTCGGGGCTGCGGACTCGGGTGGATGGTCTATTGGACAGGGTGAGGGAGGGCAAGAGTACCGATGGAGGGAAGCTATGGGAGGTGAGTGCATGTGCTCTCTGCCGTTGCTTTCTGTTTTTTTTTTTTTTTTTTTTTTTTTTTTTTTTTTTTTTTTTTTTTTTTTTTTTTTTCCCTTCTTTTCTTCTTCTCCTTTTGATTATTATTGTTGTTTTCAGAAGCAGTTGGTGTCAGCACTGGCTAGTGAAATGCGTGAGAGGATGTGTGTGCCACGCATGTGAATCTCTGAGGTGGCCGGGCACTTGATCATGGTTATGAGAAGCTGCGGATGTTGGTTGGTTTGTGGCACGCATGGTACCATGCATGTCGCCACATCTGAGTCGCTTGTGAGAATTCTAAAACATCGGACCATGCATGTCGCACATCAGATGTGACCGTGTGTAGTGGCTGTGGCATGATGCTGGATGGCTGGCTGACTCTGCTCATAAAGCTTCAGGGCCTAGCTTCTCCATACTGGTGCACATTCTTTTATTCCTTCCATCCCTCTCCTCCCTCCCTGTGCTACGCTCACCACCACCACCACTCACGCCGTCCCTACAGGCCCTACTGGCCCTCTGGGCAAAGGCCGCACCGCAGCAGACGGAAGCAGAGCTCAGAGACATCTCCACCCTCACAAACGAGGCCCTAGCCCGCCTCACCTCGCTGCGCCAGCTCCTCACTGTCGACCTAGGAGACTCCTCCGGCTTCTCTGCTGTGGGGGTGCGCAGGCTCTACTCCCTGCCTGCGCTCGTGCATCTGGATCTCACGGGTTCATGCACGGACGCTGCTCTGGAAGGGATTGACCGCGTGAAGAGCCTGCGCACTCTGATTCTTTACAACAGCACGGTGACAGACGTGGGGCTTGCAAGGCTAGAGGGGATGACGTCTCTCCTGAAGCTTCATTTAGGGGGGTGTTTGTCGATCACTTCTGCTGGTATGGCCCACGTGGGGAAGTTGACGGCTTTGGAGGAGCTTTCACTGCACGAGTCGGGAGTGGGGGAGGATGGGCTAGTGCACCTTACTCTTCTCTCCAACCTGAATTATTTCACTGTGCCTCCCGGAGTGACTGACCGGCGCATGAAGTATTTGAGGAATATGATGCGGCTGGAGAGGCTGGGACTGTGGGATGTGGAGATCACTGCAAACGGTATAAACTGGCTCAAGGGCCTGCCGAGCCTCAGGAAGATTGGTACGGACGATGAGAATGTAGAAGGGTTGATTCGGGACACTTTTCCGGGAATGGTTGTAACTCCAGGACCACTTTAAATGAGGCTACTCTATCGCGTTTCGTGCTTGAATATCCTTGTTAGACAATTCTGATTCACAATATTGAACGTGGGCATTTGATTAATATGTTGGCTGAAAGTAAATAAGCATCAGTCAGCAAATATAGGGCTTTCTTTTCACTTCTTCACAATGATTTTCAGGGTGGTTGGGAAATAAATTTTAGAATACAGGTCTAGTAGCAACATCAGCTCCCTGATTCAGCATACCCTATAAGGGTGTCGAGAATAGCTAGCATATGCTTAGATCTTAGAGCGTGTTCCTACGGGCCCCTATCAGGCCAGCCTCTTGTCAGACTCGCTTAAAACACCCACAATTCGTCTTCACCCGACTTCTTATTTCATGTTAGAGGGGTGTTTAGAAGCGGGGAACGGATGGCCGCTGGTCGCGCCGCTGACCTGCTGCGGTAGCGTGTGGTTGAGGCTCCATCGCTGCACCTGCTCCTTATGCGACATACTTATCGCGGTGCTTAAGGACATGCCCTTTGAGTTGAACGCCGGCTCTTTTGTCGCGAATCCCGCGGGATACAAGCCGCACCGGCTCGCCGTTCGGTGGATGATACAAACCCTACGGTTAGTACACAGTTCGATTGGGCTCTGGGAAGCTGTAGTGTCAAGGTAGACGGGGAGTTCCGGGAGCTGCCACAGTGGAGCGATGGGGCCACATCATCCACAGCTATCATTAATGCTGTTCGTGTGCGACAGTTAGTGAAGCGTGCGGCACGGATCTTCGCGGTTTTCCTTGAGGAGGTTGAAGCTGAGGAGGGGAAAGGAGGGAGTGCAGCAGTTAGTGAGAAGGCGACTCTTCCTGCTGAGGTGAGTGCACTGTTAGCAGAGTTCGCAGACGTCTTCCCCGACGAGTTGCCCCCAGGGTTACCTCCCAGCCGAGCAGTAGACCATCGAATAGAGTTGGAGCCGGGGAGCAAGCCAGTAGCGAAGCCGCAGTGGAGGTTGAGTCCAGCAGAGACAGAGGAGATGACGCAGCAGGTTAGGCACTTTCTCGCGCAGGGGTTCATACAGCCATCTAGATCGCCTTGGGCAGCACCGATCCTGTTCGCGCCTAAGAAAGACGGAGGGTTACGGATGTGCATAGATTACCGCGCACTGAACGCCGCCACCGTAAAAAACCGATTCCCGGTGCCGAGAGTAGAGGATCTCCTAGATGCAGTGCAGGGCGCTAGAGTATTTTCCAAGATCGACCTTCGTTCGGGTTACCACCAGATTCGCGTAGTTCCAGAGGATCAGCACAAGACGGCGTTTCGTACGAAGCAGGGGTTGTACGAGTTTAGGGTACTACCGTTCGGTTTGACCAACGCCCCAGCAACGTTCCAGACGCTCATGAACACAGTCCTCTCGGAGTTCCTAGGTTGGTTCGTCGTAGTTTACCTAGACGACATCCTCATCTTTTCCAAGTCGAAGGAGGAGCACGTGCAGCACTTGCAGAGGGTCTTTGAGGTCTTGCGGAGGGAGAAGCTGTACGCGAAGCAGTCTAAGTGCGAGTTCTTCCTCCCCGAGGTCGAGTTTCTAGGTCACGTCGTTTCCGCTAGTGGCGTTAGGACCGACCCGAAGAAGATCGCAGCAGTACAGGATTGGATAGCACCGACCTCAGTCAAGGAGTTGCAGAGCTTTCTCGGATTCGCGAACTACTACCGTCGTTTCGTTCAGGGTTACGCTTCCATCGCTAGTCCACTCACCGACCTACTTCGGAAAGGCGTAGAGTACGTTTGGGGTCCAGCGCAGCAGCAGGCGTTCGAGCAGATGAAGCAGTCGCTCACGTCTTCACCGACACTGTCGTACCCCGATCCCACTCGCCCATACGTTGTAGTGACCGACGCTTCAGATCAGGCCATAGGTGCAGTGCTTCTTCAGGACCAGGGACGCGGGTTGCAGCCGATCGCGTACGAGTCGCGTAAGCTTAGGGGAGCAGAGTTGAACTATCCGATCCACGACAAGGAGGCGCTCGCGATCATCCATGCGTATAAGGTGTGGAGGTGCTACCTAGAGGGGGCAGATAGTGTTATACGCACGGACCACTGTTCGCTTCGCTTTCTCAAGTCGCAGCCGCAGCTGAGTCGTCGCCAGGCTAGATGGATGGAGTTCATGGAGGGGAGTTTCCACTACAGGATAGAGTACAAGCCAGGCGTGCGCAACCCAGCAGATCCGCTCACTCGCCCTAGTTGCCAGCTCGCTAGTCTCACAGTCACTGCCGGCCATCCACTTCTCACAGCACTCTTCGAGCACGGTTACACAGTAGATCCTGACTTCACAGCACAGCCGCCCGCAGGAGCAGAGGTGCAGGGTAGTGTCTACATACGGAAGGGCACAGCACGGATTTGGGTTCCAGCCTACCGCCCTCTTCGACAGCTCCTTCTCTCAGAGGCACACGATGTAGTTAGCGCAGGGCACTTCGGAGCAGATAAGACGGCTAAGACGCTTAGTCGCACGTACTATTGGCCATGGCTTGCAGCAGACGTAGAGGATTACGTTCGCTCGTGCGACACGTGTCAGCGTACGAAGTCCTCTCGCCAGCGCAAAGCAGGACTTTTGCAGCCGATTCCACCGCCCGACCGCCCTTGGCAGGTAGTCACCATGGATTTCATCATGGCTTTACCGCGTACAGTTAGGGGTCACGACGCCATCTTCGTGGTAGTGGACAAGTTTTCCCGAGCAGCGCATTTCATTCCCACGCACGGCCAGGTCACAGTAGAGGAAGCCGCGACGCTGTTCGTAGATAACGTAGTCCGACTGCACGGGGTTCCAGATTCCATCATCTCAGACCGCGACCCTAGATTCACCTCGAAGTTCTGGAAGCAGCTTTTCGCACTGTTTGGGACTCGCTTAGCCATGTCGTCTGCGTACCATCCAGAGACAGACGGACAGACCGAGCGTGTGAACCAGACTTTGGAGCAGATTCTTCGCAGCATCACGATGCACGACGCAGCCGCATGGGACAAGAAGCTGAGCATGGCAGAGTTCGCATACAACAACACGCACCACTCCGCCACAGGCATGTCACCGTTCTTCGCACTGTACGGTCAGCACCCCAATGTCCCCACTCGAGTCGATCTCACACCCACTGTCCCTCGTGCGGACAATTTCCACCAGCACCTCACCTTCATTCACGACCATGTGAGGAAGCACCTTGAGCTTGCAAATGCACGCATTGTTGTTCAGGATCCGTCACTTTGAGAAGCTACGACGAACTTATTTCTCAACTAAACGCAAATCCGCTCGGTAGGATTGCGCGTCTTAGGCTTAGCTACCATCTCCAATTTGAATCACTTAAAAAGATGGTCTATAGAGTGAGAACCATTCGAAAACGTCAAGCTGCTGCATGACTAGAGTGGTGGAGGAAGTACAAGCATGAAGCATAGAAAGTTGGAGTTGGGAACCTCCAAGAGAACCATGAGAGGGAAGAGGTTCTCCAAGAGCTAGGGAAGGATAGTAGGAACCTTCCTAGCAGCAAGGATGCAACCCTCATCATGAGGTCCTTGAGGTGTCACATGCAAAATCCAATCTAGTTGGATTTTGCCTAGGTGTTGCAACATTTGCAACCCATGCTAGAAACTTCTAGCCACCCCAATCCAAAAGTCAAAGTTGCCTTCCTAACCACCCAACCAAAGATCCCTTTATAGTCATGTCCCAATAACCGCCCAAATTAGATATAACCCCAAAAGGTAATAAGAAATCCAAATCTTGGAAATCTTGTAACTTGGGCGATCTTGGTCGGAATAAGGCGATCTTGGTATCGTTGGAAAGCTCTGGATTTCTCCTGCATGATAAAGCATGTAGACTTGGAGAAAAACACAGAGATGATAAAATCCAACAGCCATGCATAATGAGTTATGCTCATGCACACAATGCACGCATGAATAGCACGAGCACTCGGCAGGACGTTAGGATGACATGCACTCAGAATGACGTGCATCCAACAAACTCCCCCTCAGACTAACGGACTGCATGCACACACACTCACACGCATGCAAACACTCATGCACACAAACACACATGCACTCATGACACCGCTGCCCACACTAGTGCAATGCCATGCCACACATCTTAGCACACTTCCAATGTGCGCTCTCGGGAAGTCTCTTGGTAAGAAAATCTGCCGCCTGCTTGCTAGCCTTCACATGGTGAAGCTCAACAACTCCCTCCTTCACCATCTGCCTCACCCAATGCCACTTAATCTTCATGTGCTTGTTCAGCCCATTTAGGATAGGATTATTGGCCATGCCAATAGCAGCTTCGCTGTCAGAGAAAAGTGGTGTAGGTCCCTGCTGTTCAGCTCCCATGTCCTCCAGCAGCTTCCTCAGGAGCACGATCTCCTTGATGGCATGGTACATCGCCATGTACTCTGCCTCTCCGGAAGACTGAGCAATCTCACTCTGCTTCTTGGACCTCCAGCTCACTGGTCCACCTCCGACCATGCACACAAAGCCGCCAACTGATGACTGATCCTCCTCCTCCGAGGCCCACTTAGCGTCGGTGAAGCACGACAGCTTCAAGGTTCCAGGCGTCATTCCATCTGCTCCAATCTGTTTCAGCTGCCCGCCAGCTGAAAACTGAACACCAGCAGATGCCGTTGATCCGAGGTAGCGCACCAAGCGCTTTGCCACCTCCAACTGCTCCTCAGTGGGCCGCTGCACAACTCTGGCCAGCTGCCCCACTCCGAATGAAGCATCAGGTCGCGTATGCACAGCTGCATACATCACACTCCCAATGAGTGACTGGTACTCATTCTGCTGCTCATCCTCAAGCACATCATCCTCCTCAGCTGCCTTCTTCAACTTGAAGCCCGCAGGGAACGGTGTCATCACAGTGCGACCCCCAGTCACACCATAGCGCTCCATGACACCAGAGATGTAGTGTGACTGATGCACCTTCAGCCACTTCCTCTCAACATCCCTCTCAATCTGCAGCCCCAAGTAGTAGTGGACATCCCCCAGCATCTTGCACTTGAAGTTGTCCATCAGCAGCTTC